GTACTTTAAGGAATCTATATTAAGGATATAGAAGTAAGCTGTCTTGCTGCAACGGAAGAGTAAGAAGTGCAACAGGAAACTGAACTGGCTAGACAGCAATCTCTTCAATGAGTTAAAACACAAAAAGGAATCCTATAAAGAGTGGAAACTTGGTCATAATACTAGGGAAGCATATAAGAGTATGACACAGGCATGAAGAAATCATAGATCCCTTTTGGAATGCAGAAGGCAACCTAGTCATGTTTGATGAGGAAAAAGCTGAAGTACTGAATGCTTTTTTTTACTTCGGTCCTGGATGATTGGAAGAGGGCAAATATAGCGCCCATCTTTAAGGTGGGTGGGGAGGGGAAGAGGATCTGGAGAATTACAGACTAGTCAGTTTGACCTCAGATGTGATATCTGGAAGGACTGTGGAACAGGTCCTCAAAGAATCTATTTTGAAGCCCCTTGAGGAAAACAAGGTGATAAGGAGCAGTCAGCATGGATTCACGAAAAGCAAATCATACCTGACCAACTTGATCTCCATCTATGATAAGGTGACAGGCTCTGTGGTTGGGGGAGAGCAATGGATATGATATACCTTGACTTCAGGAAATCTTTTGTCACTGTCACCCATGACTTTCTCATTAACAAACTAAGGATATATAGACTAGACAAAAGTACCATGAGGTTGATACATAACTGTTGGATCATCGTCTTCAATGGGTACTCATGAATCACTCAGTTGGGAGGAAGTATTAAGTGGGGTTCCCCAGAGGTCTGTCCTGGCTCTAGTATTTTTAACATCTTTCTTGATTATTTGAATGGTAGGATTGAGTGCACATTTAGCAGATCTACATATGACACTGTATGGAGTTTCAGGCACTCTGGAGGACAGGGCTAGGATCCAGAATGACCTGAATAAGCCCAAGAAATGGTCTGCAGTCAATCAGATGAGTTTCAACCAAGACAGTGCAAAGTCCTGCACTTGGGATGGAATAATTGTATGCACAAATACAGACTGGCTTAGCTGCAGTACTACAAAAAAGGACTTAGGGGTTACACTGAAAAAAAAACACTCCAAAAATGCTTAACAGAATGGAGGGTGTATTAACAGGAGTGTCACTTGCAAATGAAGGGAAGTGATTCTTCTGCTCTGTTCAGCACTGGCAATGCCTTGCCTGGAGTACTGTGTCCAGTTTTAAGCCCCACACTTCAAGAATAATGTGGACAGATTAGAAACAATCCAGTGTGAGCAACAAAAATGATTGGTGGCCTTGGAAACAAAATTTATGAGGAAAGACTGAGAGCTAGGTTTATTTAGTTTGGAGGGAGATTTGATAACAGTCTTCAGCTACCCAAAGGGAGATTACAGAGAGGATGGAGATAAAGGGACAGGACTAGGAGTGATGGCCTCAAGCTGCAGCAGGGGGATTTAGATTGGAAATTAGGAGGAACTTTCCAACTATGGTCAAGCGTTGGAACAGGCTACCTAGAGAAGCTGTGGACGCTCCATCCCTGGAAATCTTTGAGAGCAGGATGGACAGACATATGGGGCATTTTTACGTGTACTCTGGGGTGTTGGGGGTGGGGTGGGGGGCTTTTTAATTAAAGCAGCTCTCAGGAGTCACTCTAATTAAAATGCCCGCAGTGTTTCATGTATTCAGCATCCCACATTTCAAAATAGTGGTGGGAAAACTTTAACTAAAGCTTGTTTGATGAGCTTTAGTTAAAGTGCCCCTGCCACCATTTTGAAATTCAGGGAAGCTGAATACACAAGACACTGCATCACACTGAAGCATTCCGATTACGATGCTCCAGCAGACTCAGTTAATTGACAATTAATTAAGTCTGCTCCTACACGTTTTAATCAGAATGCGTTGGAGCATATGTATAGGTGCACTTGGCTGGGAAGGTTTAGTCAGGGATGATCCTGCCTGGAGCGGGGGAATGAACTAGATGACCTCCTGAAGTCCCTTTTGGCCCTACTTTCCTTTGATCAGGCCTAAGAAATGAAGTAGTCAAAAGTCTCAAAAGGTACTTTTGAGATGTTAATCTTAATCTAAAACATTTCCCCTACATATTTAAATATGGTCTCTCACTTGCAGCTAACTTCTTTCATCAAACCATAAAAACTTTGGCTTGGAAAATTAATCTGGCCTGAAAACTGTAATGTGAACTTTGGAAGACAAAGAATATTTCTATGAAGATAAAAAGATAACATAATTAAAATATGTAGGTCATTCCAGCTTAACTTGTTTGAATTTGGATTTTGTCTAATGCTCTCATTTTTTCTTAGAAAAGTCTTGTTACTCCTGCTCCAAACATGTCTTCAAAGCTCAGGGTCTGTCTATATTTGAAAAAATAATAGACTGTTTAAAAATAAAGTTATTCACTGTTTGTGTTTTGCATAGTTTTGATGCCAAACCTACTCTTATGCATAGAGGTTAAAATTTTATTGCTTATTGGTATCTTTTGGAATAGGATTATAAAATGTAATGCTGTGCTGCCATATGACTTACTGCAACTTGGAAACAATATAATGTGATTTTCTTAGTTAAGAGTCAGCAGAGTTCTTTTTACAGCTAAAATAGTGGTGACCTGTGTTTTCATGGCTAAAGCAACAGCATAATTATCCCAGCTCTGGGAGTGTGTAGTTTATTATGGAGAGAGCATTACAGTTGGTATGTGGTATTCAATATTTTAGACTTCTATGTATAGAACCACATGTGCAAAACATTCCTTTCTTTAACATTTATTTGCTTGAGCTTAATCTACACCCAACTCAAATCTTTTTATATTTATACAATTAGACAGGATTAGGCAAAAGCATATGGTACATAAGCATCAAGACTTTGCTCTTGAATGAAAATTAACATGACACATCTAATGCTAATGCAATATATTCATTCCAGGGTTCACTTGTAGATCTGCAGTTTCATTAATTAAATTGGTTATACCATTAGCTTTAAACTGGTTGCTCTGGATGAAATGTAGACAAGATAAAGAAGGTAAATTATTGCAGGGGAAGACTATTGAGAATTACTCGGTTTCAGAGGAAGCAGCAGACTATTCATCAGATTAATGAATAAAACTTCCAGGTTAAGTTTTTCAAAAAGAACTACCTAATTCTTTTGAGTGGCTCGGGGATTTTTGGTTTTTGAGTGCCTAACTTGAAATGTAAAGATGCTTTAGGGCCTCATCTTTTAGAGAATGAGGCACTCCAGAACATCTGGAGGAAAACATCTCAAAAGCAGATGCAGAGGAATGCCTCAGAGCAACCTCCCTGCTGAATTCTAGGTTTAGCGTCTGCAAGCGGGAAGAGTGAGCACGTTTTGGGGTGCGGGGGGAGGAATGTGACCCTGGCAAAGGGGTGTGGTGCACACATACCTTGAAACAATTTTAAATTGGCATAAAAATAACTAGTAAGTTTTGAAAGTCCACATCCTTTGTTCCAAATGCTGCAGATATTCAGTAGGTAACTTATTTATTAGTGTGTATTTCTGAAAAAGTTATAAGCTATTGGGAAAAGAAGGAACAACATTATGGAGTGCCATCTCAACCTTGTCTAGAACATTTACACTGCAGTCTGAAAAAAGGGGCAATGAGCAATTGCGGCCTGTATACCATATTTACTCAAATTTAAGATGACCTTCAAATTATTAGATTGTAGACCCAGAAAATTATACAATTGTTTTAATTTTTTGTATCTAGAATCTAGTTATTGGAGGACTGTCATAAATTCATCCCTTCCTTGCTGCAGGGAAAGCAGTGGCTGGGGAAGACAGGCAGCCTGCCTCCTACCCCAGGTCCCCCATGCCTGCCTCCCTTATGCTCATTCCCCCCAGTGCCTTCCCCCTCCTACTACTTGTTCTGCTTTTATGCTGGCCTCCATCCCCCTTACTTCTGCAGCTGCTCTTGCTCTGTCTCTGCTGGGGGCATGGAGCATCCAGCCAGGCCAGGCAGTAGCAGCAGCTTTGACTTCAGCCTTGAGCTCCACTCAGAGTCAGGGCTGGATCTGCAGCAATTCCCCTGCCACTCTACACACCCCTTCCCCCTGCTTTGTGCATCCCTTTTCCCATGCTCCCCCTTTCCCCATGCCCATTCCCTGTGGTCCTGTCACTCCTCTTCCCCTGCACCCTTTCCCCACACTCCCCTTGCTCTGCATGTCCCTTCATCCATGGTCCCCTGCCACCCCTTCCCTGTGCTTTCCCCAGCACTGCATACCCATTCCCTGTGCTCCCCCTCCACTGAAACCCCTTCACTGGGTTACCCCCTGCACCCCACACCCTTTCCCTGCGCTTCCTTGACATCATGTGCCCCTTTCCCATGCACCCCTACATGCCACATGAGCCACCCTGGCCCCTTCTGGATCTGTAGCAGCTGCTTGTCTGTCCCATACTCAAATATAAGATGAGAGGTTTTTTTCTCTGTGTTGAACAGGGGAAAAAAACCTCATCTTATAGTCGAGTAAATACAGTATATATATTTAAGTCTTTTTTGAGGGCTTTAAGTGGGGCTTAAATTGTGCACAAGCCTGGATTTGGACCTTTGAGCAAAGGCAGATTAACTTGTGGAATTCAGTGCCACAAGATGTTGTGGAGACTGATAGCTTAAACCAGGTCAAAAGGGTATTCATGGAGGGAAGATCCATCAGTAAGTATTGAACATGGCAGATACAGGTGCAGCCTCTGAATCAAAACTTCCTAAACCTCTGAATGCTGGAAGCTGCAGGGGGAGAGGAGCATGTGTGTGCTTGTATGTGTGGACACAGAGTTCTGGACATGCCCTGTTTACCCGCTCTCTCAGTCATCACTCTGCCATTCAGAGGGACAGGGTACTGAGACAGATGAACCTTTGGGCCTAATCTAGTAAAGGATAGCTTTTTATGTTTGTATGCACTCACAGGTAAGTTAATGAATAAATTGCTTTGTGAATCTAACAGCAAAAAAGTCCCACCCCTGTAAAAAGAACAAGTTGGTAGTCTTAAGAATTTAATCTGAATGTTTTTGTTTCCCCAGCTCTTGTTGTACGCTTCCTGACCAAGCGGTTCATCTGGGAGTATGACCCTACTCTAGGTAGGTTACATTTTATTCTAAAGGCTTAAAACCAAATGCCACAAATGCTGGCATTATTGAAGTCAAGGCAAGTCATTTAGTAAAGGTACAAAAACTCAGTCTTCCTTTGTATTCGATGTTAAAAGATTTCTCTGACATATTTATAGCTAGAATGAACTGCAAGCTAAGATGGCAGAATCAAGGAATAGAAATGCATTCAAGCAAAAGCTAGATAAATATGTGGTGGAAAATTCTGCCCTTCCTGAAGTTGAAGGGAAGCTTGCCATTGACATTGAAGGGGCCATATTTTCTCCTAAGCAGTTGTTCAGGAAAATGTTTAGTGAGTGTTACTTTTCTTCTTGGGAATAACTGACTAGCATTTCAGCATTTTTGGAAGTTAAAAGAACTAGTGTAACAGACTTGGAGGTCTGAACCCAGTATCTGATGCCCCCTGGTAGTCAGCTCTACCTGCTGCACCTTCCAACCTCCCTAACAGCCTATTATGAGTGTACAAAACAGTCTGTATTCAATTCAAATTTGGCCCAAATCAGGGACAGTGATTCAATTTGTTGATTTGGATCACTATCCCCGATTCGATTTGGCCAAATCCAAAACTGAAGATTCGATGCGGATTCGGAGAATCAATGATTTGGACATAAACACAACTTTAAATATTGTTTCTACATACCTCGAGGTACCAGGCACAGTTTGTGAACACTGTGATGGTGGGTCAGATGGAGCATCCTACAGGAGCATAGGGAGGCCCCCCACATGCTCGGTGGTGAACCTGGAAGTGGGCTGGAAATACTTCTGGTTCACTTCCAGGTCTGCTGGGGAGCGCGTGGCCCTTCCCGCCCCATGTTCCTCCAGCTTGGCGATCAGCCACTGGGGGACACTGGGTGCCCCCCACAGACTCAGGAGGTACCAGTTGCTGAGCCCCCCCAGATCCAGGAGGCACCAGTCACCAAGCACGTGGAGGGGGGGCCATAAGTGGACTGGACGTGCTTGTGGTCTGCTTCCAGGTCTGCTGCCGAGCGCACTGGGAAGTCCCCTCTCTTTTTGCGGGATGCTTCATCTGCCCCAGCATTTCAGCATTCACAAGCCACCTGGTACCTAGAGGTATATAAAAAAAACATTTAAAGCTGTGTTTATGTCCGAATCTGTGGATCTCTTTGAATTGATTCAGAGGGTTCCGATTCAATTCAGAGAGATGAAAGGGTCTCCTGATTCAATTCTGATTTGGAGATTCAGCCACTGAATCATGTGCTCCAGGGTGAAAGGGGGGCCCCTTTAATTAGAGCAGCTCTGAGACCTGCTGTAATTGAAGTGCCGACACCATCACATGTATTCAACATCCTGCACTTCAAAATGGCAGCAGGGGTGCTTGAACTAAAGCTTGTTTGACAAGGTTTAGTTCAAGTGCCCCTGCTGCCATCTTGAAGTGCAGAGATACTAAATAGATGTGACATGGGGCTGCTGGAGCACATTAATTAGCATGCTTCAGCAGACTTGATTAACTGAGTGTGTTCCAACATGAGCTAATTAGCACATGTTGGAGAAGATGTCTGGCACATGTATAGGTGGCCAGTATGATTACCTTGGGTAGTTACCACTAGAGGCCAAAGTAGCTCCTTCTGCATAGTTTCATAGTTTCTAGGGTCGGAAGGGACCTGA